ATTTATTAATATACATTTATCAACACAGGCATCAAAGAAGCAATAAGAAACAATATAACTGGACAGGAAGTTTCAGTGAAAACACGGAGGACACTGGATTAGTAAACAGTTCTGAACAAAAGTGGCAGGAAGCCAAAAGCTGAGACAGAGTAAAAATACAGAAGTAACGAGTGAAGATAAGTGTTAATGACATGATAGATTTATTTTGCCTCTTTGTTTGTTAAGACAACGCTTGTGGTTCTCCACCCTGGAAATTTTAAAAAGTGTTGTACAAATCCCATTAAACTCTTTCAAGTGCTTATGTAGGAGATCATAATGTTGATTCTTTGGACTGTTTCCTTTACAGAAGTCCAACACCTACCCTTCTCATTAGTGGAGAAAGTTGCTTCACAAGATACTTCCTCAGTCTTAGAATCATAGAATACTTAGGGTTGCAAAGGACCTTAAGATCATCTAGTTCCAACCCCCCTGCCATGGGCAGGGACACCTCACACTAAAGCATGCCACCCAGTCTTGTGATACTTTAAAATGAGAAGCATAGCTCACAGAGTCTATAATGGCTGAAATACTGAAGAAGACAGATTGAAGAAACCGAGCTGGATTTCTTTGGACTAAGTAAAACAAAACTAGGTAGGACTACGCAATCTGTATAAAAGGTTATGTTATGAAAAGTCATGACAAGGGTATGGTGACTGTCCTACACATCCACTGGGAATATATCGGTCTTACTTGTGGAAATGAACATAAGATTAAATGGGATGTTAGGAAAAAATCTATCTACCTGTAAGATTACTATAGCACTAGTGCAGACTATCTCTAGATAGGGTCCCAAATCCCCTTCATTATAGGTTTTCAAGAATATGCTTTTAGACACTATTGGAGCTTAGACTGCTGAACTAGAAGTTCTCTAGAAGTTCCTTCCAACAATGTACTTGTGTTGCCAGAATATTCGTGTATGCATTTTGGAATTAATATCTTTCAGTATTAGACTTATTTATACAAATGATTCTGCAAAATTATTTCCAGAAAAATTTAGAAGTTAGTATTAATCAGAAACACGGTATGTTTTTGTCCTTTCCAAACAGAACGTGAGATACAAGTTCAGTACAATATAGCCGTTTTTTTCATTTACATGTATAAACTACAAAAATACTACAGTCCTGGTTTCAAATACTATAAAAATACCATCTTAAAAAGGAATTGAAACGTGAAAATATAATTTTAACACCAAAACATACATTTTCACCACAGGTTTTTGTAACAAGACTTGCATACACAATATATGGAACAATTTAAAAGTCATTTTGATGCATTATGAATCATCTGTAAAAAAATAAATAAGTGAAGACATTCGCAATTTTGGTAAATATTTATAGAGCCAAACAATATGAAGTATATGTAACAATCAAATTTCTAGTGAAAATGTGTGCAAGTAGGTTTATTTTGAAAGGAAAATTCCTACTCCCAGTGTCATACCCAATTAAATTCTCCAGGTAATGACCCCATTTGCATAGAGAGCTGAACCCACAAGTGGGAATTTTAATGGGCACACCACCTGAGTACATTAATTGAGAGTGACACTACTTGAACTAGTTTTGTGCTTACCCCACTGAAAATTCTACTCATATTATTTTTAATGTCAAGCTACAAGTCAAATTTCAAGATGATGGATTTGTTCTTTTTTAAGCATTGAATTTGAATAAAAGAAAGCTTTAATTCTGTTATGCATTGCATAGCTTTAACTAATCTGTAGTTCTGATTCTCACCATTGCTTCATTTTTTCAGTGATTGGAATTTAATTTTATTCATTAATTTGTGAATAATTAGATAGAAAATAATGCTTTCAGCAGCTAAATTGCTTTTGGATTGCTGTTTAATGTACTTCTACCAGAATACATGTTACAGTTAAACTGGCATAATAGTTTACTAAAATGTAATTGCGTAAATATGTCTAATTATGCTTTCTGAAGAAACAAGACCGAATATAAAATTTCAGTCATGGATACCTTAATTTTCTTAAACTTAACCCCAAGAAAGCTTGGTAGCTGCAAAGCAGATTACTGATGCAGAGACAGCAGTTGTCAACAGTAACGGAATACTCGCACCGTATTTCCCTTTATCCTTCACACGCTACTTGTAATGACCTTGAAGTTATTGTGGATTCTGAACCACTGCTGTTAGTCTACATTAAATATGTAATCAAGGTGTCTCCTCCTCACATGAGGAAACAGACAAATGGAGTTGTGTTTCCTAGGGAGGAAAGCAAATTCATGTTGTGTAATACATTTCTTTTTCCCAGCTTGTTTTTATCAGTAGCAGACAATGTAGAACTAGCAATATATATGCCACTGTAAAACGTGTTAAACTAATGTACCAGTCTTATTCTTGTGAGTAGAACTATTTTGAAGATTGCCAGTTTCCAAGACTCTGCAGAGTCCATCTCAGCAGAAATTCTGAGGTTTTTATTTGAATGAGCAAGACAGAATTAATGTATTTTGAACTGCATATATTCAAATATAAACCACTGTTGAGCTACAGTTACTTAGATATATTCTAAAGTTCCAAAGGCATCACTTTCACAAGCCTGTTTGACCTAGGAATCGCATATAGCAGTGAACACAGAAAAGATGGAGAAATAACTTGCAGTGTAACATACATCTTTGTATTGTGCTAGATGTCCATAATGAAAGCCCTTTGAACACCAAAGATTTAAAAAAAAACAAACAACTAAACAAACAAACCAACCACCTTGTGATAAAGCTTAAGAAACAAAGGTAGGCATTGTGGAAAAATACTATAATGTGAAACACTTTTGAGTTTGTGTTCCACTTGAAACCCAAGTTGGAGTGCAGCACATTCACAGTGTGGTCACTTCGTGCAACTTGGAGATGAGACAAATTGCAGAAGCCTACACCACTGATTGAAGAGGAATTGTATAGTGCTTGGGCACCAATTACATAGCCTACTGAGATGATATAAAGAGCCTCAATTACCTCAATTATAGTAGAGTATTTTGTCAGTTAAAATAGCATATGCATATCAGAATAAAAATTAGCAAGATACTATTACAGGTATAAAAGATATACATTTTTTTCATCTAACATCCCATTTTTATGAGTATCGAATAGTAATATACTAACAACTGCTATAATATACATACATAAAGGAGACAAACAGAACTGTATGCAGTGTTTTATTAAATTTTTAAGTGAGGTGAACTGATATACTAAAACCATAAAGATATTAAGAACACGTAATCAAACTCAACATCCGCCTGTTTTGCAGAATGGTAATTCAGAAAAAGTTCTCTCTTTCCAACTATCATAGAAATAGCCCATCATATCAAAGACTTGTAAAGAAGAGAAAGGCCATCCTTTTATGTCACTAGCACCAAATCACTGGTAAATAGCATAAGCAAGTGCTTATGAGGAGGCTGAATTTTGTACAATCAATCAACTTCACATTCGAGTGTACTGAGCACAGTGAGTAAGTGCATCATGGAAGCGGGTGCAGGGTATTATTTTGATTGAACTTCTTTCAATATACTGATGCTAAAATTGAGTTAAGTTCCCCCTGCCCTCTTTGGAAGTGATAAGAACTGGCAGAAGGGTTATGAGATAGGAAATAAAGATTAATGTCAGCAGGGCTGTAGAGTTACTATTGTCAACATTTTCACTACCTTAAGTCTTTCAACACAAGGTGTATACACTCATATATAGACAAAGAGAAGGACATACAGAAGATACCAGGGAGATATTTCTGTAAGTTTGGGACCAAGAGTAAGACTTCAGATATATGATTCATTCTATGATACATGCACTGCCTTTCAGAAAGTTACAAGTCTGGTAACAAAAGGAAGTTTACTGTAGAAAAACATCAATTCAGTTGGCATTGCATTCACAGAACATGCATCAACTATTACAATCACTAAGACAATTTAAAAAAAAAAGTGTGAAAAAGTTCAGAAAAGATTCAGAAAAGATTAGAAAAGCAGTGATTCACCAAATTCAACAAACAGTTCTTAACACGAGTAGTATGGCTGAAATAGAGTCATTATTTATTCCAAAAGCTCCCAAATGTTCCTGATCCTTCTTCACAGATGCCATTTTTTCTAGAAATATTATGTATTATTGATACTGGCTCAAATGGTGCTATTTGCCTATGCATTTGTTAGTTCTCTTACACAATAATTTCGGTGCACAATCTCAATGGCAAGACTTCATGGTATGCACTCAAGCAAAAGTTCTGTCAGTTTTAATATCTTACCTCTGTAATGCCCAGAGGGGACATATCAAAATGTTTTTAGACCCCACAAGCACTCATGTATATGCAGTCATGGTAGAACAGTCAATAACTTTTTTAAAAAATAGTGCAAAATTAGTGCAAAAGACTGTAGATGTGCAGTTTCTGCAGCTTTAAAGTAGCATAAGAATATTCACACATGGCCTAAACCAACATGGAAGAAGAAAAACCCCAAACCAGCTTTTTGCTTAAATCACAGTTGAAACAGTTTACTCAGTGTTTAAACTATTCGATTTTAAAAACAAACCTTACTTTAAAATAGTGGTACTGTGTGTAAGTCTTCATTTCATAGGCCACATAGGCAATTAGACCTTAATAGGTCTACTGCAATACTGACTACAATGTTGTTTAGCTTGTTTTTAGTAAACTGAATACTGTTGCTACAGATGTATTAAAATAATATTAATTTTGATAAAATACAATCATTGCTGGAATTTCACCTCACTAACGCAACTTCACTAAGGAATGACTCTGCCCTTTTACTGACAAAGTATTTTACTATTGGAGATTCATGCTAGCACAGCTTCTAGTGCCTGAGATGGCTCCACCTGTAAGACAACTCACGTACACTGGCGCATCCTCTGTGCAAACAACTCAAAGGCCAAAGCCACCAGGAAATGTAACAGGAAAAAAAAAAATCAAAAATAAGACATGAAATTATAATTCAGATGAGTAACAGGGCAAGACTAGAAGACCTCTCAAAGTTTCAAAATAAAGATCTTTATTTCAAAATAGTGTTTGAGAATAGCACATCCAGTTGATATAAAATACAAATAGCAAGTTACCATTTTTTCAAATGGGCCAGTTTGCAGAACTATTTACTGAAACACTGTACAAGTTCACAAGAGCTATTATAAAACAGACAGTTAAGTTCTGATGTTTTAATTTTATTTAAACTGTATTTTCACATTTGACTCCTTCTAATTCTGCTTGATTTAATTACACAAGGTGCTTACAAGATTGCCTATAGAGTGAAAATCACAAAACAGCATTTAAGAATATAAACATAGAAAGGAATTACTTAAACTACATACTAATATTCTCTGCTACAGATACATTTTACAAAAGTGCTAATATCTCTATGACAAACAGTAGCAGACTATATTTAAATGTCAAAGAAATCACATATTTTTAAATTTTTTTTCAATTGTCTGTAACACTTTGATACTTCTACTCACTATGAGGGTTAAACAACACTATTTTCACTTCCTAGTATTTCACAAACGAAGTGGGAAAAGAAGTAATATATTTGCATACATGTGTGTGCATGTGAGAGAGAGGCTGTACACATACACATAAAGGCATCAATAAAGTTCCTGTAATTATTATTTGTATTTTAACAGTATTGGAAGTAAATGCTTAATAGCAAAGACATTTCCAAGGTTTTCATAATTTCAACAGATCAAAAAACCCTCTCAATTCCTGTAAGTAGAAACAAGGGTTTGTGCTGGGCAAATTGTATAGATAAACTTTTACACAGATTGGCATTTTCATTTTTTCTTAACTATATCTTTCTGCGGTAAAAATATTTTTTATTAGGATCTGGTATTCATTAAAAGCTTAATACAACTGTGCAGTTTTCCAAGCACAAAAATGAAAATGCTCTGGCAGGTCACAGACATTGGGTCAGGACAGGACACTGGAAACCTTCTTCCCCATTCTCAAAAGCACAGTTGGACAGCCATAATTCATCTCTCCATGACCAGAAGGACATGAGGAAGGACAGTTTATGCTGCTGCCTAGCACCAGAGAGTACATCCCCATGACCACGGTGTCAACCACAGAACTACATTGGGTGAAGCAGTCTCTACACTTTTTCCAAGGTGCATCAAGTCCCAGTGCTCACTGTGATGCCCCCAATTTCCCCAGAGGCATTATACCTTACAAAGGCAAAATGCCTCCAGGCACTGCCACTCAACCAAGGCACCTCTTCCCCCCTTCCCAGAGTGGTTCAGACTTTTAGGAGTCATAATTGAGCCCTGTGGGCCTGATTCTGAGCTCAGGGAATTTATCAATTTAACTATATGATTCCTTATTAGCCTGCCTATTACCATAATATCTTTGTGCTCTCTAGCTGGAGCTAAACCAATGGAAAATTCTGACATTAATGAAAATGCACCTAGTTTATGCAACACCGATCTGAATCTGGCCCAATATATGATAAACAAACCAAACAAACAAACTGAACCAAAACACCATGGTACGGATCAATTCTTGTAGTAACTATGAAAAAACAGGTAAGAAACCCTCAAGGTAAGTCTGCACTGTATGAGAATACACCACAATATCGCAGATGATAAGGCAAAACGTAACACCTCCCAGCTCCCTAGCACAGTTGAGGATTCGGCTATGTTACCTTCAGTGATAACTTGCAGTAGTAGGCACTACTAGTCAGTGTTCACAGGGAGAGAAGCTTTGGTTCCTACCAGACCATTTGTTGACTTAGCTTCACACGCCTGTGATCTTTAGCTTGTCACATTTGCATAAACTGAATTCACTACAGCGGAAAGAGACATTTATGGTCAATTCACTCTACAGAAATATGCTATTGGCTCTCGATGACTCTTGTAACAAAGCCTAAATTTATGAGATCCAACAACCTACAAATGGGACATCTGGAGTGTAGACAGGAAAGTTTATGTGATCAAGATGTGTAGGTGGTTTACACTGAAAAGTTGACGAGCTACAGACATGGATGTAAGAAACTAACAAGTGGTAAAGAAAATGGTACCATTATTCCCGAAATCTGGGAATGACATAAACCTCTTTCTGTGTTGGACCAAGTCCTTTTGACAATTACAATGACAAGCAGAGATTTTTTCACAGAAAACCTTAATCATATACAGGGAAAAAGTTGCCATCAGATCCTAACTGTATTTTTCAAATATTTTAAATCCCAATCCTTTTATTTTTAAAGGACTTCATACATTTTTTAGATTTCATTCTTTTTTTCACAGTTATTTTAAAATAACACTTAAAACATATCTGAGAATAAACATTTTTGCATTTGCATTTTATGTTCAATGACAGAATTTCTTGATCAAGTCAGTTTTAATTTTGTCTTTATAACCCATTTAAATTCTGCCATCCTCTGCAGATCTTTCTCAAGCAGTGAAGAAATAAATACTACATTATGTGACTGGCTCTAATACCCCAAGCACTGACAGGGCCACTTATCGTCAGGCTTAGATTCTTGAGTTAAATTCTGATAATCACAGAATCATAGAATAGTTAAGGGTTGGAAAGAACCTTATATAATTTCCTTTTAATAGCCAAAACTTGAAATTTGTTAGTCTATTAGTTAGTCTGTTAGCCTAAGGATATATTTCATGTCTATACAGATTTACGAAGTCTCTTTCTAAAAAGAAGCATTTCAAGTAATATTAGTAGTGAAGAAAAATATAAGTTCTCTGTTCTGTCTTGATTTATAACAATGAAATCTTGTTACTCTAGCCCATGGCAAAACTTACATTGATTTTAGTTTGCCATATCTTCCCATAGTATCAATACTGAGATATTCAAAACAAAAGAAATATTGCCAACGTGACTACTGTAGCAAAACCAACAGTAGATTTCTGTTGCTAACTTCTCGATTAAGTTTAAAACAAGAGAGCAAAGTTGATTTCAACCCAAACAGATTGAAATAAAGTTATTTTGCTTTTCAGAATGCCCGTAAAGGCATGTTATGCATGGAGGCATTTAAGCGTTTAAACATTAAACTAGGTAAAGGCAAATACTTAAGTCTTTGCCCTGTAATCTCTTCTCTGACAAAAATCTGTCATTTTATTCAAATGGCAATTTTGCCCTCATGCAGCCTGTGGCATCAGGCCTATAATTCGGTTTCAATAAAGTCTTCCATTTGCAAAGCCAAAAGGAAGCTGGAATGTAGCTTGAGTTTCACATATAAAGCTATACAATTTGTGTTAGAATACAGATTTGAGGACTGGTTTAAAAAAAAAAAAAAAATTATATAAAGAGAATTAACAGTGCAATACCAGTTGGTTGTGTGAATATCTTACCTTGTATTTCTTCAAATGTATTTAAAGAAAAGCTCTCCAGTTTTATAGAGAATAAAATAAAAAGGGATAAATATTTCATGACGGGAAGCAGATCCCACAGCATTCCATGCAGATCTCTAAGCAATCTGAAGATTCACAACATGCGTCCATTATGCCACAGTCCATATCACATGGGCAGTTACAGTCATCTCCCATCTCGTCCCCACAGCAGCAGCAGCAGGCCTCCGATGTGCAGATGCCACAGGATGCTTCTCCGAGAACAATGTTACAGAGGGTGAGAAATTCACAGAACAAGCAAGCCAGTATACAGTGAACACAGCAATCTTCATAGGTACCAGTTCAGTATCATGTCATGTACAAACAAAAAAAACCAAACAAACAGAATGAAGAAAACAAAACAAAAAAAGGGGAAAAAAAAAAAGAAATCATTAACATGTTATTCTAAATCCAGTTATAGCACAATATAAAAAATAAGTAGCTGAAAGACAATGATTCAGAATAGCCATAATCTAGCACCACAAAGAAGATGTTTCCTAACTTCAAGGTCACTTTTGAGGCCTAACTCATCTCCTAGTTCAGTTTTGGTGCAAGTTTCCTTTTGCCACTTCACTTCATGCAAATCTCCAGTACTAAGCATCAGCTTAGATCCATTTTTCCAGTCATTTATTATGTAAAATACCCATATCTATTATCTTCAGTTGTAACTTCTGCAGGCCCACAAAGTGATTAAAAAAAAAAAATCAGCTTATGAAGGAATCTATCTAAAATTATTTCCAGCCTCTCCAAGTACATCTTGCCTTTCTGAATCTCTTTTGCTACTTATGAAGAAAATAAGGGAGTTGCCACATTTTTTGCACAACTTAAACCAGCATAACAACATGCTATATGTATTTCTGTACTTTCAACAATATGTAAAACATTCAACCAAAACAGATTTTTCTATTGCTTTTCGACATAAATCTCTTAGCAAACCTCTTAATGTACTAGAATCTTCAATAACCACACTTGAACATCAACATCCATCTGTCATAAGTACTATTAAATTACATGGGATAATTGAGGTGACCCACAAACTGTCTGCACCCAAAGAGTAAATATATAAAATAACTTCAAATAATTAATACATTCACAAGACAAGAAAACAGAAAGAGTGCAACTAAACATATGCCACTGAAAAGGAAACTGCAGGAGCAAGGGATATGCTCAGTTATTTTCACTCTCCTTCACTAGTAAGCACATAATATGTATAAATTTGTATGTATAAACATATTTAATCTGTAAGAGGCAGTGAAGAGTCCTCCAGAAAGAAAACAAAAACTTAAAAATTCAAGAAATATTCAGGATAGAGAATTACTGTTCTTTCCTAGCATCAGCTTTCCTTCTTTTTACTGCTTACTAGTCCTGAACTCTTTTAGCCACAGACAGTTGAAGACTGGGAAAATGTGCAGGGGAAAATATTCTGCACCAGGCTCATCCTTTCTCTGTCCCTAAATTCTGTCAAAGGTATCTGCTATGAGAGGCCAGTAGGAAAAAGCATATTGAGCTATATGGGTAATTGGTCTGACTATCTACAGACTTTACAGTTCACAGGCTGGAGACTGCTATCATAGGGGAAGGGCTGCAATTACTTGCAACAGTAATACAATTACCAGGACTCCTAAACAGATTTATAAATGTCAAAAAATGATGCAGTAGCTGTGGCAAGTAACGATTGAGTCAAAGGACTTCTAACATTACAGAAACTCTCACTGCAGGATAGCACAGCGATGACTTTACATGAGCAAGCACAAGTACTAAAGCAATGCAGTGATAGTCTTAGACATGCAAAACATGTCCTAAAGAGCAAAATAAATACCTGAGCTCTTAGTCCACTCTAAACATCACAATACTGGGGATTCATTTCTTTACTTCCTACACTACTTAGATCACTGAGATCACAGGTTAGCTTGGGAATACCTGTACTGCAATGTGCTCACAGTCACAATATGCAAAATGAGCACTTATGTCCAAATGAAAAAAAATGGAAATGTCAGGAAAAGCAAGAAAAAAAACAAACAAGGAAAGCCACAACAACAAAACTATGAAAAAAAAAAACAAACCAAAAAACCCAAACCAAAACACAAGAACCAAAAAAACAAACCACAAAACCCCCACAGAAACAAACAAACAAACCTCAGAAACTCCCCACTACTGTGCAGCATCAAAACTGAGAGGAAACTACAGGTAAGATTGAGTTGTTTTTAAAGAAAGTTGCTGCTTGTATTAAAAAGCTGCTTTTCCCAAAGAAATACTATCACTAAATAAATGATCTTCATAGCAAATGCAGAAGATATGAAATAAAGCTGAGGAGTATCAGTTCACTGAAGAGGACCAAAGCCAGAGTGATAGCGATTAATTAGCTGGTTGTCATGGAGATGGTGTTAAATTTGTTCAGGTACAATCTCCTTTCAGATTTTCTTTTAATATGAAGGAAAAAGATAAAGAAGCCAAGAGTTCTATGTAAGAAGCCTTCATATTTGAGGAACTGAGATTTTTACTATTTTGCATCTTTAAAATACAGCTAAAAGAAGACAATGCCACAACAAATTCTGTTCTACAAATATTGTTTTTAAACAAAGGACCATAAGAAAACTTCATGTGTATCAGTACTGAAAATCATGTTCAGCAAACATTGACTGCTTCATGCAGGGATATATAAAATTGCAGCAAGAGAAATAAACAGTCACAAAAATTATAATGCACATATTTATTATTGGGCAAGAGAGAGAATTATAAGTTAAATGAATGGGACTGCACTCAGAAAGCACTTTCTGGACCCACAAGAAAACTTCACCTTTCTAATCTAAAAAAACCACAAAATCAATACTTACAAGAAGAGTTTGTGCTGATTTAAATAAAGGTATTTCAAAGGTAAAAACTATGAAAAACTGGCCCAAGACACAGAAAGAAATTTTGGCCATTAGTGCTATGATGAAAACTCTGGGGTAGGTCTTTCTTTCTATCTCTTCTTCACTGACTGAAACACTAAAAGGATTCATTTACCAACTGTTTATTTTATTTCCTTCTCCCCAGATGGTAAAACTAATTTTACATTCAGAAAATCTTTACATAACAATACTTTACTTAACCCACACACACTTAACAGAAAGTAAAGATGCCATTCACTGCTTTCTTCATTCTTGCAATGACTCATTTCTACAATGAACATAAACTTTGATCCACATTTCAAGGACAAACCCAAAATAGTCTTGCTTTTATGTTCTTCATGCTATTGACTTTTAACAGCTATCCAGGTAGTCATTATTTAACCCATGACGAAGCATACTGTTGCCTAGTCCTGCCTAACTTGCTGAATTTCGAATCATGACTCTAAAGGTCTAAATATTTGGATAAAATGGGTGGAAGAATAATTTCTTCCACATATGACTCCTACTTCTTAGCTTCTTATCTACAGTGGCAATTATAAGGAAAAGACAGTCACTGCTGGGTTTTGGTTTGTTTTTTTTTTGTAATAATAACCAATTTATTTTTGTAATAACCAATCTACATGCTACACAAAACTCACATCCTTCTCTAGTACCCGCATTCCTACAGAAACCTGTCAGTTCCACAGGAAAAAATATGCAGCTAAACCCCACTTCCTTTCATTTCTGTTGCAGGGTGTCATGATCAGTGGAATCTAGCCACATAGAAGATGCTTTATAAACCTCACTCCAAAAAAGATGATCTCAGGTTTTTCATTACCATGTTGGAGACCCCTAAAATATATTTCACTGCTTTTACAAGACTTTCTGATAATTCTTTCCTGCTTCTAAGACCAAAGAGTCTATTTTAAATTACAGATTAAATTTCAAAACTATTTTAACTTATTAAGAATAAAGACTATACTTAACTTCCACTCTTTGACCTTACCATATCAAAATTCTAATAGCTTTTGCACATGAGTGATTGGTGGAACACATTAACCGAACTGGAACTAAACTTAATTTCTGTATTTGGGAAAAAAAAGTAAATTGGGTGATCTTAATGTCTGACAACATGTTTTCTGTAAACCCTGAGTGTATTTTAATATTTTCTGATAAACTATAAAGAGATGCCAGCTTAAAATGATTTATTTCTTTGCATTCTTTTTTTTTCTTAATTAGAATTAGAAGAATCATACTTCTTTTCCCATTAGATATATCAATGTAATTAAGAATTACATGTGTGCCTTTATCAAGGACCAAACTCCATCTGCCTTGATGTTTATGATGCAGTACTGTTGATAACATTAAATACTTCCACAGAGAAAGAACTTAGTCTATGTCTACTGCATAAGCCTAGCATTAATGAAGATAAGCTTTTCCTTAGGACTTCCATACTACACCACAAGTCTCAAATTTCCATAGTCTTTCAATTCTTCTATTATTACACTTTACTGAATGGAGGAATGCTGCACTACAGACCAGCACTATACAAAAGTAAACATATGCGGTGTCAAACACTGTACAGACGTAAATTTTAGAGCCCCAAAAATGGTACATCTGCTTTAGTTCTCTTTTCAAATGCATTTAATTTCATCAAAGCACACTATCGCATTTGTTGACTATGACCAAAAACTATGTTGAATGGCATAAATTACAAAAGGCTTGGTTTGTAGGAAGTGATAGTATAACTTATTAGATGAACTTAACAGTTGGGGAAAAAAAGATGAACTTTCAGACATGCAAGCTTATATTATCCTTACATTTAGCCTGGGATGAAAATTAGACCTGAAGTTAAAAGGGTCATTCCAAGAAGCATTTTTAAATACCAATGCAAGTAAAGATGTTTCCTTAGTCCTCTGGCACATTGCTGAAAGTTACATGTTTGTTAGGGAACTTCGTCAAAACTGTTAAACAATGCCAAGGCAAACAGAAACCCAACCAACTTGTCCAAGGTTTTGCTGCTTATATTGTATACATATCCAGCTACTTTGTGCTGATTTAACCAAAGAGTATATATACAGTACACGTAAATCTACTTTGGCGTATAAATATTACGACACACAATATTCTGACAAGAAATAGCCTAAAATACTTTAAAACACCTTAAAATACCTTAAAACCTTCACATATTTGATCAAAGTCCAGAGGGCCCCAGTCTATTCCAGTGTCAGGGCTCTGAGACTTAAGTTGGAAACAGAGCACTGCACCAGCTACTAAGAAGGATAAAAATAACTGTTAAACAGCTGAACCCAGGACACTCAGCTGTAACAGCTATGCTCATTTAAGCAAAAGAAACAATATAAACAATTAACTTTAAATTTTGTCCATGTCTTTAAATATTTGTTTGTGCACACCAC